AAGGAGTCAGGACTAGTTTGGCACTTCCGGGGTCCAAACCAGGAATAATGGGTGCACTTTGGAGGAGATTTGAGAAACAGAAACAAACGAGTCAAATTAGTGAACTTTAGCATTTATATATAGACTTAATAGGTTTCTACGTTAGTCAGCCGTGGCTCAATTTGCTGTCAACTCTGTGCTTTAAAAAAATACTGCCGTGAAAGAAAAAGTTAGAAATGGCACAGAGACAACGCCTCTCCTCGCTAAAGCTCAGTACACTTCAAGAACACTCAAACCAAACTTGATTTCCTCATTAACGGTGCTTCTCAGTATTAATCGGATGTTTCCCACCAGGGTAAAAAGGTCCAAACCAGCCGCTGCAGGAAGGAGCTGAAGATGAAACACGAGAATTTGATGATAATAAAAAGTCCAGGATAATGCCTCGAGATTGAAAGGAGCCTTCCTGGACGTCGTCTGCGACATCTCGCTGTGACGCGGCAGCATTTTGGCAGCCCGATGGAGTAATAATCTGTCAGTGTGGCTCTTAACGAGCGCTGACGCCTCATTCGCTGCTCTTCACACGCTAATCGCCTCACTAATTAGCAGCAGCTCTCCTGAAGGCCGCTGCTCGTTTACTAATCAGCCTCCAATCTGCTTAATCAGCGATTTAATTGAAGTGATCGCCTCCCACAGGCAAAGAACCACTCGAGCATGAGAGAGCTGGGAATCGAACCTGCAACCTCAGTCTTTCACGCAGGCTTAATGGCCTTTGACCTTCAAATTTTAACAGTGATATATATATTTTTAAATATTTTTGATCAGTCCTTTAATTTTCGCATTCTTTGTGGTGAGTTGACTGTAGTAATATTGGGATAGTGGAGTGTCTGTTTAGCCCCGCCCAAGCCGCTGTGTCCAAACACTATAATTGAGTGATTTACATTGTTTTGAATTTGTGTCCTCCTCCTGATAAATCAGCAGCTCTAATGGAGGCCAGCAGCTCCGACTGGGGGTTGGAGGAAGGTGGGGGGACGGTGGGCGACGTGCTGGGCGGTAACAGCTATGACACGTTCGGTGGCACCCATTCATTCATTTCATAATAAGGGCCTGGCAAATCTGCGGCGGTGGGAGGGTCGTCATTAATCCGTCACAAATTGGTGCCTGGATGAGGAACATTTAGAGGAGAAACACGGGTTCAGGTTAATGAGTTTGTGTCAACGTGACAGAAGAACCACAAACAGACTTTTACTTTTTTCCTGTTTGTCGATAAAAGTCCGAAACAGAAATTTCCTCTGAGCTTCTGGGTTTTTGTTTCCCGACACCATCGCATCACTACGAACGCTTTGAAATATATGTTTGAAAAATAACAACAGTTGGGCAAAAAGAGATGATTATTTGGAAAATGGGGGGTATTAGTTTGCAATGTGCGCACATTTATCGGACACCTGGAAAGAACAGGACTGGTTTTAGAAGTATGGACGTGTATTTGCAGAAGTTTGGATGTTACCACAAAGATTCAAAGCGCTGTTTGTGACATCAGACGAAGGTTTGGGTCAGTTTAGGATCATATTCCAATTTTAGGGTTAATGTCCCAGGAATGCATTGTGTTAACGAAGGTCCTCACAAAGACAGCTGTACGTGTGTGTGTGTGTGTGTGTGTGTGTGTGTGTGTGTGTGTGTGTGTGTGTGTGTGTGTGTGTGTGAGGTCGTGCTTATTTCCTGAGTGCAGCTGAAGTGTTGGTAGATGATGAGAAGCGTGCTCAAGTACCACCGCCACTGCTGCTCTGCATTTTGAATCCCCTCACACACATACACACACACACACACACACACGTATGTTTTTCTGCCTTTGTGAGAGCCTCAGTAACATAATGCATTCCTGGGACGCTAACCCTCAGCCTGAACCTGAACCTTAAAACCAGACCTTTGATGCTCTATCACAGAGTGAAGATCTCCTTGGGTTCTGCAAATGTCCCCGCAAAGTTTGAAACGTGAACGGGTCCCCACAAAGTCAGATAAATGACAACACACCCCCACGTGTAAAAGTGATGGGGAATGTGTAGTCCCTCATTTTTAAGAGCCCCCGCCCCCCATTAAAAAGAAATCACGGGAACACCCCTGGAGAGTACAGCATTATAGCTGAATAACATCAAACCTTTTCATACTGAAAACAATTTTACATGAACTGATTTGAAAGCAGATGTTAGAAGATTTGTTCTGATAAATGTTTGGTGGCATGCCGTCTTTGTTCAGAGCTGAGACAGAAAACCTCGAACATGTCAGGGAACATGTTGGGGAACATTTCAGTGGACCGTGGGGATGAAACCTGAACAGGGTTAGGTGTTCCTCCTCTTCCTCCTCTGCTGTCGGCTGCTTTGAGCTCCGCTTTAGTCAGTTAACAGAGCCGTTAATGAGAATCCTCCTGCTGCTAATTAACTGCAGCCGGCTGAATATTTATACCTGCTGATGATTGTTATCGTCATTGCAGGTGCTATTAATGTTTGCATCACAAACCTGTAAGTGATAATAATAATATTAGAGGTGGTGTTTAATTCAGTTCAACTTTATTTATCTCAGTCAGAGGTGAGACCAACACAGCTTCAAAAGCTCCCGGCTGTACCTGCCAATAGTGATCAATACATTGATTCATTAATAGCATTAAAAGTAAAAAGGCTGTTCTTCCCTTTACTTGTAATTCTGATATTATTTGTATGTTTTCAGTGTAAATATAATTAATAAAGCATATTACGTAACGAGGATTAATTATGATAATTGGGATTACAGCTTCAGCAGGTTAGGAGAACCTTTAAAATGTGTTTTTCATTTGCTCACATTAAATAATAATAATAATAAAAATGTAAAAACCACTGCTGCAGAAAAAATAAAATCTGGCTCACTCAATATAGTATGGATAATTTTTTATAAGAATGAGTCGTATTTATTGCATTTGTATTCAATATTTATTATGTTGGATATTACTTTTAAGTGAACACTGATTTTTTTTTTTTACAAGAAAAAATTGTTTTGTCAAACATTTTAAACTAAATATACATTAAAGCTGAGTTTTTATTTTATAACAAAAAAAAAAACAGCGCTCAAAGAGTTTTAAATAAAACCTTAAGAGGAAGCAGTGACCTAATTTAACTAAAACTATCACACTGACCATAAAGTCTGCAGCTACGTGCTGAATATTATCAATAAGTCATAAATCACAGAACTTATTACATTCAGCACCAAAATAAAATCACATAAAAAAAACTGATTTTATCATTTAAATTATTTTAATCAGTTTTTGAAAACTAAATTTATTTTATTTGTATTTGAGTCACCAGAAAAATTAAACTCACAGCCTAATGCAACACGAATGAATGAAATCATAAATGATGATACAAGAATTAAATGACACTGAAATGAATTTTCATCAATTTAAAAAATAAACAAAAAAACCTAAAATGAAAACACCTAAAATGCACTGAATAAATAAAATAAAATATAAATAAAAAACAGAGAAGAACTAAAGTGATGAGCACCAACAATAAGAGTAACTGGAATAAATGATAACAGGAAACTGAAACTAGAAAATGAAATGACCAAAATCAAAAATCTTAAACAGGAAACAAGTGGAAACAATAAAAAACACAATATAATTCTGTATGAAACCCTCTCATGTCACATTATCAGCTCACAGGTCAAAGGTCAGACGTGTGAAAGTAGCTGTTTGGTGTCACCCCCTCCCCCTCCTCCTCTGGGACTGTTAAACCCCGGGGCTCCTCCAGTTTAATCCTCCTTCTGCTGCACTTTAACTGACACGATGAAACGATGAAGAACAAAAAGAAAATAATGGACATGAAAGCAGCCGTTACGTCAATAATTAATGACCAAAATATGAAGAAGAAAATCAGATTTAATGCTGCAGCTTTTTAGAGTGATCATTAGTTTTGTTTTGAAGAAACAACTTTAGTGTTTACTGATAATTGATCGTATTGTAAGATCATAAAATCAGTCAACAAATTAACTCATCATCAGATGATTCTTGCACAAAAATGACTTGAGAATATATCAAGTCTCAGAAATAAGTTCTGCAAATAAATACATTTGGTAAAACATTTTTCAGTGTTAATATAATAATAATAATAATAATAATAATAATAACAATAATAATAATAATAACAATAATATATGGCAATATATCTGCTAGACTATTTCCTTTATTTTAAAACTGACAGGTCTTTTTTCAGGATGATGAAATCATTCTGTCTCTTTAACGATCAATAAGATTTTTAATTGTAAATTACTAGATAAAATAAATGTATGTGCTACAAATATCAGATATTAAGATTATAATACGTTAGTTAAATTGCATTATATTAGAGTTATACTGACAGATCAGTTCAGATTAAAAATGAGCTTTGCTGAGTAAAATAAAAATGATTAAGAACTTTAAGGCGGAACCTTCAGATCCATCTGAGGAAAAAAGACTCAAAGCTTTACTGGCTCCTTAAAAAATGTCTGCCTATTATTTTAGAAAAAAAAAGATAAATGTGGCATTTGGGCAAAAACGGGAGAAAAAAAGCAAAAAGGGTTAATCGTATGAAATTAATCGCAGAAATTATAAACTCATTGTTTAAAGTTCAGGGTTGTTTCCACACAGAGCTGTGGATTCGCACAATAATTTGTTTAAATTTCGAGGAAATTCCCTTTAATTCCGTAGTTCAAGGAAAGTGGAAAAACAGGAGCTTATTAAAGGAGTTTCTCTCCCACAGTGAGAAGAGTCTCGTCTTCATCAGCTCAGACTCTGTGAAAGATACCTGGATGTTTGGAGAGAAGCTTCGTAACGGTTCTGTGAACAGAGACAAACGACAAAAAGACAAATAAAACAAATTAAAGCGCTCACACAGCAGCTCTCAGCGGCTCTATTAGTCAATGCAAATTGGTGCGAGAGGCCACAAACAACCCCCCCACACACACACACACACACACACAGACACACACTGCGCGTAAAACGGTGCCAACACACCTCCGCTCAGCGCACACGTTCCCGACAGTCGTGCTCCTCTCTTCGGCTCTTTCTCCGCTGCAGCTTCAAATGAAAGACTCGTGTCGGTTCACCGTGTAAATGACAGCACGGTGTGCCCCCCGCTTCCCCCCTACACCCCCGCCTCCCTCCTCCTCCTCTTGGCTGTGATCATGTGATGGCGCAGAAGTGGCCCATTAATGAAGCTCCTCACCGGGGGTCTTTTCTGCTCCTGTCACCGCGCACGGGACAGATCTGAGAGGGACATGGAAGAGGCAGCAGCAGCCGCTTAGCGCAGCTCACCAGCGGGCAGCAGGAGGACGGACACCGCGCTGCACCTGCCAACCAAGCGGAGGAGAGGAGGAGCACCCACCGCTTCAACTTCTCCCAAAGTTTCGCTACCAGCTGTGCGTAAAAACTGGGAGCATGCGTCCAGGACAGCCGGCGGTTTCCGTCTCATGCGTAAAGGCGCAGTGAAGAGTTTGGAGAAAGTTTCCGAAAACAAAGCGAAGAGAGGCTCTTCTGACGGGATCCCGGTCCGGCTCGGCAGGACAAAATGCCGCGCCCCGGGAGGAACACGTACAGCGACCAGAAGCCTCCGTACTCGTACATCTCCCTGACGGCCATGGCCATCCAGAGCTGCCCGGAGAAGATGCTCCCACTCAGCGAGATTTACAAGTTCATCATGGACCGGTTCCCGTACTACCGGGAAAACACGCAGCGCTGGCAGAACTCGCTGCGCCACAACCTCTCTTTCAACGATTGCTTCATCAAGATCCCCCGCAGGCCGGACCAGCCCGGCAAGGGCAGCTTCTGGGCTCTGCACCCCAGCTGCGGTGACATGTTCGAGAACGGGAGCTTCCTGCGGCGCCGGAAACGCTTCAAGGTGGGCAGCATGCAGGCCGCGGACCCGCTGGCCGCCAGCAAGCCGCAGGATGCGGCGCACTACCTGCAGCAGCAGGCCAAGCTGCGGCTGAGCGCGCTGCACGCAGCCGCGCACCTCCCGCAGATGCCGGCCGGATACAACCTGAGCTCCGTCTCGCAGCCGTCCAGCTTCAAGCACCCGTTCGCCATCGAGAACATCATCGCCAGAGAGTACAAGATGCCCGGCGGACTGGCGGCCTTCTCCACCGCCGGGTACCCGCTGCACAACCAGCTGACCCCGGCCTGGCCGCACATGTACGGCTCCGGAATGATGGACACTGCGGCCCCCATCTCCATGGCCGCCAGCGACTACTCGGCCTACGGCATGCCACTCAAGACCATCTGTCACGGCGGGCAGACGCTGCCCGCCATCCCGGTGCCGATCAAACCCTCCCCAGCCTCGGTACCCGGCCTGCCGGGGCTGCCCGCGCACATTCCGGCTTTCCTCGCGAACTCGCCCCAGTCTCTGAGCCCCACCTCCCCGCAGACAGCCACCGGCCAGAGCAGCCCGGGCGGCCCCGGAGAAGCGCTGCAGTCCGCGGTGGCGGTGCACTGACGGGGGCTGCTCCGCTTTTTCTATATTAAAAAAAAAAAAAAAAAAAAAAAACAACTTCCACCGCAGAGTTTAGGAAACCGCAGGCTGACCTCTGACCTCCACAGAAATAATCAAAATGATCGACTGGCTTTCTTTTCCACCGAGGTCAGAAACAAATTTGCTCCACATTCCTTCGCTTCACCGTGACTGAGTTTAACGGCTCGGTGGATCCCGCACAGACAAATTATCCGGATCTTTTGTGTTTGCAGCCTTTTCTTCTCGGACTCAAAGAAACCCTCAGATTAATGACTCCAGAAGATTTTTCTCCCTCTTGAGCCTCTCCGTTTCTTTTCTGCCCCCAAAACAAAAGTTAAACCTAAAAGGAGGTTAATTTGATCCCATTTGTAAAACTCAAGAGGAAAATCTGCCTAAAGAAGCCGGCAGGCGTGTGAACAACCAAATATGTCCCCGCTGTTTTTTCCTTTCTCAATCGAGTTTATTTTGTAATAATCGATATGAACAATCGCAGAGAAGATGAAACTTAAAAGCATATATTTATGTCACAGTCTAAAAACCCACCGGAGAGGTTTGAATGCAAGGATCTATGTCTCTGAAGCACTTTTTAAAGACCAACTTTAGATGTTTTTTATTGAGTAGCGAGGCCGTGTTGGTTTGATTTAAAGGTTTGGTGTTACAATGAGCCGCTGTCTGTGTATTTGTACTGCTGCATGCTCCTCCGTCTGAAAAGCAGAGAATAATCCAGTGTTTGTATGTTTTTTTAAATGATTATTTTCATTTTGGGGGCATTGAAAAGCATGAACATGACTAATGGGCTTTTTATTCCCTTCGCTGTGTCTGCTCATCCAGATCCATTAAAGAAACCTTCATGGGCAAAAATACAGGAAATAAAACCAGTCCGAGTGCATTTTTAACATTTTCAGCTTTCATGGATTTGTGCAGTTATCATTCAGTCCTCTAAGTTTGTACATTTAACCTCTAACCTGCTGTTTTCTCCCTTTCTTAAAATCACAAAGTAACATTTTTTATTTGAGTGGGATATTTATTATATTTCAGCCCAATATCACAGCAGATTGTAAAATAGTCACAAAAAACAAATGAAAGTAGAAAAAGTTATGACTATTTCACAATCTTTGTTAAATCAAATTAAAATTAAATTAAGAATAATTTAGATTCGCACCTTTAATCTCAGTAAACGTGGCTCTTAAAGCTGACTTTCCTGTAACTGCAGAATTCTTTTTAAATTTATTTTTCTTGTAACCTGAAATGTGGTTTAATAAATCTGCTTTACCAGGTGTTACATAAACCCAGCAGTTTACCTGGTAACAGCTGTATTTTTTTTGAACTCCTCACTCTGTGAAATGTCACCTGTTCAGGTATTTCAACAGCCTGACACTACTTCTTGTTTCCCTTCTGTTATATATAAACCCAAGATCAAAGGTACCTTAAATTCAAACCGTTTTATCAAAGTGTAGGCCTCCTGTCGTGAAGTACGAGTACGTCTGTATTCCTGAGATTTGGAGCCGGAGGCCTCCGACAACAAACCAGTTTTCAAATGAGATTTTACGGTTTCTCTGTCTCGCCTGTTTTATTTTTAACATTTCTTTGTCACTTTCACAAAGCAGCAGCTGAGAAACTGAACTTCTGTCAGTGATTTATAGGTGATCATTTCAGTGCAGCCAAATATAAAATCAGAGTTCATTTTGGGAAGCTGAGATTCACATTTCAGGCTCAGTGTTATTAAATCAGGATTAAATGAACCCTCAGACTGTTTCTATTGGAACACATTAACGTGCTCAGATATTAAAACTGGACCAACGCACCGTCTCACACAGTTCATCAATGCTGCGCTGCATTTTAATGCCAAATCATTTATTTAATAAGACAGCAACATAAAAATACACACTGTACTAATGGGCGTGAATAATCTTAACACATTTTTAGTTTAGTATCAAAAAAAATCATTTGAAAAAATATTTAATGCACACTAAAAATTCTTTATTCTTATAATTTGGTAAGTAAGAAAATAAAAATGAGTGAAGCTTTATTTTGCTTTGTCTTTTTTTATATACACAAAAAACATTTACAATAAATGTGAAATTATGTTTAACCTGTTCAGGTGGCAAATCTGTTGAGTGAGACAACAACATAAATATAAGTTTAAATAAAGGTTTGAATATTTTTCAGTCACCTGTGACTGCAGATTTGTTCTTGTCATAGTTCACTGATGCTCGTGCAGTGAGCTGATATCAGAATCAGGTTTTTGACTGAACATAAAAAGTTGAGCAGACCCGACATGTTTCATTTAATATTACGCTGTAAGAAAACGTCATCGATAAACTTTGACTCAGTTTTAACGTCTAAATGTGAAAACAAACAAAATGTGAAACAGAGAGTGAACACAGAACGAATTCAAAAATAATCCTTTCAGTTAATAACTAAGATTGTTTTTGTTAGACTACAAAACAAAGTCAGTTTCTTTGGTTTTGTTTTCTTTACATCAGATGAATTTCCACGTGTGTGACAGGATAAAAGATGCTGAGAAACAGGAAGTGGTGCGTCTTTGATTTATCGCATTAAAAAAATAAGATGGAAATGGAAAACCTCGTAAAAACATTCACAGTAAATCAACATAAATGTGACTCCTTTATACATCAACTCGGATATTAATAAAATATAAATGCAGCATGTACTGATGTCAAGAGAAAAATCTCTTCGTACCAAATTTATTTACTAAATATTTCACACTTGTGAGGATCCTCAACATGTCGTGACTGTAAATCAGAAGAAGGCCGAGTCCCGCTTCACCTTAGTGCCGAGTCACATTAATATATTCTCAGGGTGTGAACCATCAGTGCAGCACGTTCACATGGAAACGCTCCACAAACATGCGTGTTACACACGAGTGTAAAACATGAACCATGGACGATGACTTCCCTTCAGATAACATTAACCTGGTATGTCGAGCGGCCGCGGCACTACAAACATTTCCATATCACATTTAGCAGGAGTTCAGTGCTCCAATCATGTGATCCATTATTTTCAGCTTTTGTAACTTTTATCTTGTTGTCATTACTGTGACACAACTGCAGCATTTCACCTTTTAATTAAGCGCCTTTAGCTTCTCATTATCCTTCACATTTACTTGGAACCTGAAGAAAAGGGGCGAATAAAGTTGGATACTTCAGCTTTCATGCATGTAGTCTGACAATGATAACACATTTGTACTGTTGGGGCATTTTCTTATGTAATTATCTGACCAATAATGCGGCTCCTGTGCGATTAACGCCGCTAACAGAGCGTCCAAGAGACCGTGAGCTGAACTTGGACTTCCTCCTCTTGCTGAAGCGGCACCGAGATCCAGTTCAAGGCAAGATTTAACTTGAACTGTGATTTATGCAAAGCTGCTCTAGTAGAGACCAAAAGTAAAGTCTGCAGTGTCAGTTTTGTCTAGAAAAAGCGTAGATGTCACCATGACAACCAAGAACCCAGAGCTTAACAGGAAGTAGGAAGTGTTTTAACACAAACCGAGCCCTCTTCCTAAACCTGAACCGGATACTGAAACTACTCATGTCACTTAAATAATGTAAACATGATCAAGTTTATTTGTGTTTATTTTAGTCGTCTATTAATTAAAAACGGTTCATAGTTAAACTGCAAAAATCTCATGTTTGAGTCAAACTATGGTCTCTGATGTCAGATGATTCCCACAGCAGTTTGTGAAAAGTCGCAGTCTACGTCAGAAACATCTTTATTAGATGCACAAGTTTGAATTTATATTTATGCCTTCCAAACCCGGTTTTGATGTGCGTGGGATCCAAGCGCAAGTTTCAACCATCTAGCTGTTTTTCTTTTGAGGTGAAGTTGAAGAGTTTGGATGTAGACCTCCTCCAACATTGTTCCATCCACTTTGTGCAGCATAGCAAAACTGCTGCCACCACCAGGCCTGACAGTTGGTACGGTGCTCCTACCTTTACTCTTCCAAACAAACCTCTCGTCATTGCAGCTCAATCTTTGTCTCGTCTGATCGTAGAACTTCGTGTGGGCAGCTGCAGGTTTCAGTCAAACTTGAAGGTGTTATTTTTGGTGCCAAAACCAAATTCTTCCCTGCACGTGTCCATGGTGATGTAGAGCTGGCTTCACTGTGATGCTGGTGTTGCAGCAGTTTACAGTTCATGGCAGAGCCTTGGTGGTTCCTCTGTTATTAACATCCTAACCACTGGGCGCTCATGAGGGTCAGTTTGGGTTTTCTTCCAGACTCTTGGCAAAGTGGTGACACATTAAAATAACTTCTACTGAAGTATATCTGCAGCTGTTTAGCAACGACTCCACGAGACCTTCACATCTTGTGTAAATCTACAATCATCTTTCTTAGATGTTCATTGACTCCCAGGAGTTTCACATTGTTTTGAGTGTAAATTCTGTATGTGCAGACACTTATGGCTGCATTGATTCTGCAGTTAGAGTTTAAGGTGTAATTTATTGTTAAATCCTGGGAGTAGCTCAGCATAGATCCTGCAGGTGGTTTCTGTTTAATGGACTCTGTTCCTCTGAGCGCTGAGAGCCAGCAGCTCGTGTGAAGAGCTTTTCCTCCCCCCGCAGTGACCGAGCTCTGGTGTGTAAACACTGGCCGGTTTGTGCGGAGCAGTGAATTAGCAGCGGGCGGCGTCTGGGCGGCCGTAAGGGATTAGCCAGTTAACACTTTCCTGGTGCCAAACACAATTGTGCTCCGTCAATGCGTACGGGTCTTTGAGTGTGTTGCCAAGAGACGGCGACTGTTACCATAAAAATGTCAGTTTCTGAACACCCCTGCCACCACCACCTCCATCCTCCTGAGCTGTGTGACCACACACAAGTAAAACAAACCGACTTTAAAGGGAAAAACCTCCACAGACGTAAAAGACGAGGTTAAAATAATCACACGAGTACAGGAGGAGGAGGTGCTGGGAAAGATGGACCTCCAGGGGACAGAAGGAACAGAACAAACACGACTTATTACTCCACATTTATTGATTTCTATTGATTCCACAGGGACTAAACTTTGAAATCAATAA